ACCAATATTCTCTGGAAGCTGGTTAGACTCCTAGATCCAGAGATAACATGGCTAATACCTATAACCCAGTACTTCTGCTTGAGGCTGATTTCCTATTTAACTAAAGAATTTAAATTGCCTACTTTTTATAACTTCTAGCTTGTAAGAATATATTTTTGTATGGAATAATGCCCTAATTGTTTCATATATAACTTGAGGTATTTGATACAAAGATTTGTAGCTCAATGTCATCATATAAAGATATGGAGCCCTCAGCTTGATTTATCCCTATACTTAAACGTTATTATCAAAACACTCTTTAAGATGCTATTCCATTTTTGTGAGAATGTGTTTAACTTTGCTTTGACTAAAATAGATAGAGCTTAGCTTCGCTCTAATATATATATATCTTATTTGCCTTACTATTAATTGGTAACTACATAAATTCTTTTATTTGCTTTGAACCAGCCCTAATCCTTAACCGTAGTTATTCTTTGGCACTAGGTTGCTATTCAAACTTATTTCTTCACTTTACTCTTGACGCCTGAGCTAATAAAAAGTGAATTTTTCTTAGTGGTTCTTAATTTGCTGGAGTGCATCTGAAATCCTCTATACTCCTACTCTGCAAATAGGGGGCTAACATTGCTAGGGATACTGTGTTTGCCTAGTAGTTAAAGTAAGCATTCAGATTAATTCTGCAGGACTTCAGTTCATTGCTGTCTTAACTGTGGTGTGCAGGACGTCTCAAGGGGCGTTTTCTGACCAGGGCTTCGGATGTGTTTGGCAGCTCAGACATGTTGATGGTGGATAGTTTTCACCGAACCGTTGAATCTTGGGTGATATGAAACGTGCTAATCTTTTTAGATCCTAAAGCCTAGGTAATTAGACGAAAAGATTGTTAGAGTTGTCAGACTCTGCACACTTAGGGTTTCCAGTGTATAGTTTCTGCTTGACTTTGCTGTATAGGTATATCCTTTTCTCGTCATTTGGAATGGTCTAGTGGTGAGTTAATAGTAGTTGCTCTTAAGGGGATAGTGGACTGAAAATGTTCATGTTAATATTATTGCTATATGTTTAGACGGTTCTGTATTCGAAACGTAACATAGTTCTAATTCGACATGTTTGTTAAGGATAGGTCCAGTCCATTGGCAAGCGAATGACGTGCGACAGCTTCTTATTCATATTAAATTAGGCGAGCACATCAGATCTAGAGGTTAGTTTATCTCATATTTCTTAGAAGCCTGTTTATTAGGTTAATTTCTGAACTTTTCCTTCACTTTTTTTGTCTTATTTTAAAGCAGTCAAATGCTCAGTGTCCCTTATTTCAGCTAGGGGTATATAATATAGTCGATGCTAGCTGACAGTTTATTCTTTAGTGTTATTTATAAGTTGTTTCCATTTTTATTCAAGATTCTGGCGGGTTTACGAATTCAGTCGCCAAATCATCAGAAATGCAGTCTATTGAATCCTCATTCAATTCAGTGGCACATATGAGCCATTCGGGTTATTATCAGCCGACTCATTCTGATATCCCCGCGCCATTAGCGGGTTGCAGCATTCTTGAGTATCCAGCTTCCTTAACTAGCCCCGGTTCTCTATCTGGCAAAATCTTACCCAACTCAGCTAATTGTCTCTCCTCGCCTCCTGTTACTTCTATCGGCGAGTATCACCATCAGCCTGGCTATGCTCAAATTCCGACCTCCCATCCTCCTTTGACATCAGCTTCTTCCATTTATCCTCCTTTGACATCAGCTTCTTCCATTTATCCTCCATTTCCTCAACATACCTCACAACAATATATTCCAACCCTTTTGTCTGCATCGAAGCCTCTGCCCTCGATTCCGATCGCATCAGGGGTCGCAACATCCGCTCAGCCTAGTTTTGTTGCCCCTCCGATGCTTCATGTTGGTCAGAAGCCTGCGCCATACCCACCCAAACTAGACCTTTCAGGGAATATGCCTCCACCTCCGCAGGTTTCTCATTACCTTCCACCCTGTCAACCGCTTTCTACTGCCGCTGTGCCCTTAAGGACATCTGCCTCGCCTCCCTCATTTCAGCCTCCTGTTCCACAATATCAGCAAGCTACATTGCCTCTTCCACCGAGCAGTGGTTATAGTGGCCACCAAGTGTCCCAAGGCCTGTCAGGCCCTCCTCCTCGGGCACCTGGCTCTGCGGTTACCAATGCCGATTGGCGTCGTTTGCACGCTCCGATCAATCTTCTGGAGGAGCATCATCTTTTGCCAACCGATGGCGATCTGGACTATGTTCCTCTGCCGAAGATTAACTCCTCGGTAGTGTTAATTTAAAATATTTTACTAAGTTTCTATTCCGCTCATTTATGTGATATGCTTTATTCATTGTCTTTTTTGCCTTATTCTGTGAGATTACCTCATACAAAGCCAGATTATTTTTTGTTACCCTATTGCTATTGGTCAACACCATCTCACTGATATTGCAGTACTAGTGCCGATCGCAGCTTTCAGATTCTCTAAGTTGGAATTATTATTATTCTCCATTTACTTAGTGTTTATCCTTTGTCTCTTTGTTATATTCTTTATTTAAAATGGCTGCAATGTAATTGAAAATTATTATTGCCGAGCATTTGTGTGCAACCTTATTGAATATTAAAAACTTCAAAAGCTCTTATCTACTTTTATCATTCTTTAGATGCTATCATAAAAACTCTGGATAATGTTAAGAGAAGAAAGCTGGTTGGCTGCAATCATATCTAATTCTTATAGCCTAGCTTTGACTACTTGACAAGTCATCTCGTGATTCTTTAGCTATTTCGTGCTTTCTTTACGTCTGCAGATATATGGAATGGATGCGGTTCTGGGCGAATTGCTGTTTTCTCACTAAAATCACTTGCATTTTTGATTCTGTAGTTTCGACTCGTCTGTATGAAGTCCTTACGAGTCGTATGAAGTCTGAGAGCCCTAACTATTCTAGGCATTAATCGAGTCTATTTCTCTTTTATTTTCTTGTTCGGCAGTAATTCCTACTCATTTTCTCTCTTCCTAATCCTATACAACGGCTACAAGTAGTTCCTACTCTATTTTCTGTAAATATTAACTTCAGGATGTCAGCTGTTCTGTTTATCTTAATAGACTCCCTAGTCTTCCCCTCGTAAAGCCTCCATATAATGCGAAACTTTTGGCTTTCGCCCAGCATGTCTGGCTTCTCCGTTTATCCATTTGTTCGCTTTCTTTGGGATCCACATGAGGTTACCTTGAACTAACATGATTACAACAGTTCCCAACCAATTTTTGAAAATATGCCTGATGATGAATTATATTTATTACATACAATAATGATACAATGTAAAAATGGGCTTTACCATGCACACTTATATTCGCAAGTACATAAGTAGCCAATATGCTGTAGAGGTGAACTGAAGCCCTCAGATAACTCCTGGAAACTTACATTTATGATCATAACTTTGAGACTAGGGTAATAAGTTGACTTGTAACTTTGCCAATGATAGTTCTTTGATTAACATAACTATCTTCAATTAAAATGTCTAAGTCAACGCTGGCGAGACGTTACAAGCGGAACATAGTCATCGGTTTGATGATGTGAAGACGAATGGCAGATGTTGCGATAAAAAATAGGCTATTCGTTTGTAAGTAAGTTTTCGCGACTACCATTATATCGTATTGCCAGGGCGACTTAGTTGGACACATATTGTCCGAAGTCGTCTGCTATAGTAATTATAATTCCAAGCATCGTACTGTGGATTTGGCACATTCCCAGACGATTTGACGACATCGATAGTGAGTCTTGTCATTCTCAGCACCGAGCTACAACTCTTTAAAGAAAGAAGTGAAGTCACTCCATTGATCTACTTTTTATCAAATGGTTATGCTATCACTCCACTTTTTGTCCTGGTCTATTTCCTACCCTCTTATCTCCTTTCTGCCATATAACAACTTCAGACTTGTTTATGTTTAAGATAATAGAATAGGGAATAGGTATATGTGCATGAACAGAACGAAGATTGATACCACAAACGTTCTACAGAAAGTAAATCGGACGAGTTGTAGCTTGTGGCAAATACGACAAGACGATGTAGGCTAAAGGTTTGGGAATGTACCAGGTGCACTGTCAACGCTGCAACAGAGGACTTCGGATAAGATTCGTCCAACCATGTCGCCCTATCAGCATGACCATATTGCGAAAACGAGGTCAGACTACTTTTATACATCGAAAGGAGACGGTGACCCAAATAGAGGCCACAACATCTTCGTTTTCATGTCTATGTTTTGACTATTTTTATGTTTTCTAACAGATCTTTTTTAATTTATCAAAAAAATATATTTATTTTAACTACTCATACCTCATTTTCGTAAGAATTATTTTTTCAGTATTGAGCATTTTACTATTTTGACTGGAGACCAATATCCATTATTAGATGAGCCATTTAATTACTTACGAATAATTCAATAATCATTACATGATCTTCCTCTATACGCACACTTTTTCTTCAGGTTAATTGTGATCTCGATCTTATCCGCTGTACTCTGACTAACGTTCCATCCACTCATAA